TCAAGCGGTAGAGTGCTAGCCTTGAGCTGAAGAGCTGAGGGACAGCGCCCAGGCCCAGAGTTCAGGCCCCACGACCAGACCAAAAAAAAAAAAAAAGAAGAAGCTCAGGGACAGTGCCCAGGCCCTGAGTTCAAGCCTCAGGATTGGACAAAAGAAAAAAGACATGAAAAGAACATGAAGTGCTGAATTCACCTCCCTTCTGAAGGGAGGAATGGGATGGGGAACAATGGAGCAGAACAATGGAAGGGGTGACATTGTACTTAACAAAATTAAATATATGTATAAAAGTCTCCTGAAAATTAAAATTAAGATAGCCAAAATGAAGAATTCAAAAAAAGAAATAAAAAGCAAAGTTGAAGAAGGTTCTCAGGAAGAACACAAATGCAAAACTGATGATGATGACAGTTATTTCGACCCTACAGATACACCAAGTACCATGAACCAGGTAAGGAATTAAACTTCGTGAATAATACTTTCTAGAAGGAAATTATTATCTTCAAAATGGAAACTAGAAATATTAATGGATCTGTGTAGAAGACCAAACTGACTTGAAGCTTGCTGAAATATATATGGAAAATGGAAAGGAAATGTACATACACATATCCAAGACATGAAGTCTCCAGACAAGCCCACCCAGGAACAGATGGACAGAAGCTTTACCTTTTTTTTGGTTGGTCATGGGTCTTGAACTCAGGGCCGAGGAGCTGTCTCTGAGCTCTGTTGCTTAAGGCTAGCACTCTACTACTTTGAACTACAACTCCACTTCCAGTTCTTGAGTGGTTAACTGGAAACAAGAGTCTGTTAGGGACTTTTCTGCCTGGGTTGGCTTCGAACTGAAATTCTCAGATCTCAAGCCTCCTGAGTAGCTAGGATTACCAACAGGCATGAGCCACTGGTACCCACCTCAGAAGCATTATCTTTTAAAAATCCACATGAAAACATTTACAGATGAACTTATATGCTGTCTTGGATTCCCCACAGGAAACTACAGGAACTTGTTGAAAATATAAATGAAGTGAAACCAGCTAGCTTGAGACAGGGTCTCCGTATGTAGCCTAAGCTAGCCCTGAACTCAAGATCCTCCTGCCATGCCTCCCAAGTACTGAGATTAAAGGTCTGTACTGGCTTTCCCAGCTGGTCATATTTTTTTTTCCCAATTCATGATTATTTTCTTCATGCAAAGAAACCTAGGACTTAGGCATACTTAAAAGTCATATCTAAATGTTAAAATGTTGTTTAAGTTATAAAATGTTAAACATGAAAAAATACCTTTCCAGTCCAAAATAAGCAAATACTGGACTAGATATAGGTAATTCACTTGGTACTACCCTCTCAATTGGAACACTGAATTTTCTAACTTATGACTGTGCTGTATTCATCAATGAAGTATCTTAACACACTGCTAAAGATATTCTTCAGTTAAAAATCTCTTCTGCCTGTAATCCTAGCTACTCAGGAGGCTGAGATCTGAGGATTGTGGTTCAAAGCCAGCCAGGGCAGGAAAGTCAGTAAAACTCTCATTTCCAACTAGCCACCAGAAGACTGGAAATGGTGCTCAAGTGGTAGAGTGCTTGCTTTAAGCTAAAGAGCTTAAGGACAGTGCCCCGGCCCAGAGTTCAAGCCCCACGACCTACCAAAATAATAATAATAATAATAAAGAAAAAATATCTCCTGACAGGGTCCTGGTGGTTCATATTTGTAATCCTACCTACTAAGGAAACTGAGATCTGAGGATTCCGGTTCAAAGACAGCCAGGTCAAAAAAGTCTATGAGACTTATCTCCAATTAAGAACCAAAAAGCTTAAAGTGAAGCTGTGGCTCAAGTGGCAGAGTGCCAGCCTTGAGAGGAAAAAAATCTAAGGCATAGTGCTCAGACCCTGAGTTCAAGCCCCAGTACTGGCCAAAAAAAGAAAAAAGAAAAAAAGTCTATCCATATTTATGAGTCCTTCTTCAGTCTATGTATCTGACAACCACTTAGTATCATATGAAAGAATGTGAGGAGGAAGTAAATGAAGTGTCAGAGATGAAGGAAAGAGGAAGTGAAAACCAAAGCCTTATTAAAAATTTTGCCTGGGGTTGGCTACACTGAGCTTAGGACACAGCAAGGAGCTTTTTCTTCATCCTTCCTACAAAAGCATAGCCACGCTCTTACTCCTACAGCATGATTCGTCCATCCCGTAACATTGTTCAATATAGTCAAACTTCTAAACAAATCAGATTTTCTTTTTTGTCGGTTGTGGGGCCTGAACTCTGGGCCTGGGCGCTGTCCCTCAGCTCTACAGCTCAAGGCTAGCACTCTACCACTTGAGCACTACTTCTGGCTTTTTCTGTTGAGTTGAACCCAGGGCCTCTACCACTAGGCCACCTTCCCAGCTCACAAATCAGATTTGTAGGTAGATTTTTGTCATTGTTTCAGAAACACTGGCAAAATAACAATAAAATAACAATAATAATTATACTCCAATGAGGACAATATGAAAAATAAAACACAGAAAGCCTTGTGGACACTAATAGTGCCTGCGTCAGCACTTTGATATGGCTGCTACAGTGAGGGTCGCCTTACCCAGCTGGTTCTTCATGCCCATGAGCACAGAATTCATGTGCGCTCTGGATGCATACAGCTTGTTCACAGCCTTCCTAGACCTTATCATCTCCTTGGCCAGAACCACACAGACATCCTTCTGGCCCTTCTTGGCAGCATCTTTCACAGACCGCTTCACTTTTTCTTCTTCTCTTTGAATGTCTAGAGAGATTGAGAATAGAAAAACTCATATATACTTGGAAAAAACAAGTAGGGGAAGGTATTTATTATTTGTAGAAACAAAATTAACCAAAGCAGTTTAACAGTAAAAAGAGGAGTATAATCCTATTATACCTGACAAAAATAAAAAATGAAAGCCTTTTGTGAGTTTGTCAGACACTTATTGGTGCCTGTACCAAGAAGCTTGAAATGCATTCTAGAGCTTGTTATAAGTAGCACTCTCACAATTATGTGGTTTATAAATAGTTTGTAAAAACCTGCAACTTGACTAGGAATGTGGCTAGTGGCAGAGTGCTTGCCTAGCATGCATGAGGCCCTGGGTTTGAATCCTTCGTACCACATAAACAAAAATAATTTTTAAAAACAACAAAAAACCCTGCAACTTAAGAAAAAATCTGAATATATTCAAAGTATTGTATCAGCATCAACTAGAGGTAAAATATGTCTGTGTTATATGATTTAAAATCAGTAGACTGTGTGGCTGGGAAGGTGGCTCAGTGGTAGAATGTTTGCCTTGCATGCATGAGGCCTTGGGTTTGATTCTTTAGCACCACATAAGCAGAAAAAGGCAGAAGTGGTGCTATGGCTCAAGTGGTAGAGTGCTAGCCTTGAGCTGAAGAGCTAAGGGAAGAGTTCAGGCCCCATGACCAACCAAAACAACAACAACAACCAGTAGACTGTTTTCAACTTTAAAAACCAATAGTATCATTGGGTGATTATGGCTCAAATGGGTAATCCTAGCTACTCAAAAGACTGAGATCTGGAGGATCATGATTCAAAGTCAGCCTGGACAGAAAAGTCTAGGATTCCATCTCCAAAATAACCAGCAAAATGCCAGGCTGGAAACATGATTCAAGTGGTAGAACCCCAGTCAAGCAAACAAGCCAAGCCATGTATGAAGCCTTGAGTTCAAACCTTAGTACTGCCACTGCCATAAAACAAAATACAAAAACCCTGTGGTATAGCTTCAATCTCCAGTACCACAAACATACACATATACAAAATTCACCATATTACTTATTCTTAGGTATACACTTCAGTGATATTAAGCCTATTCATATTGCTAAACAATAAGCATTGTATCCATCTTTAAAACTTAAAATCTATATCCATTAAACAATCCCTTCTCCTCAGTCCCTTTTAATCATGCTGGCTCCATGAATCTATCTATGCTAGTAGTTCATATAAGTGGAATCTACAGTATTTTTTTGTTGGCTTCCATCAATTAGCATAATGCCCTCAAGTTTTATCCATATGCAGCATGGGGCAGAACTTTCCTCCCTCTTCAATAATATTCAAAATGTATACTCCATACTCTGTTGTGTGCAACTTTTAGCTATCATCAATAATGCTAGCTACTAATATATATATATATATAAAGTATATATGTGTGTGTGTGTGTATATATATATATATATATATATATATACATATATAAAATACATATATATTAGGCAACAGTGGCTCACACCTGTAATCCTAGCTAAGATTGTGGTTTGAAACCAACCCAGGCAGGGAAGTCCATGAGACTCTTAAATTCAATTAACAACAAAAAAGCTAGAAGTGAAGCTGTGGTTCAAGTGGTAGAGCATTAGTCTTGAGCAAAAAAACTCAGGAACCTCACCCAGATCCTCAGTTCAAGCCCCATGACAATCACCAAAAAAGAAAAAGAAAGAAAAGAATATGTATACACACAAGCTAGGCAGTGGTGGCTCGCACCTGTAATCCCAGCTACTCAAGAGGCTGAGGCCTGAGGATTGAGGTTTAAAGCCAGCCCTAGCAGGAAGGCTGTGAGATTACCTCTAATTAAACAGCAAAAAGCTGAACTAGAGGTGTGGCTCAAGTGGTAGAACACCAGCCATGAACAAAAAGCTAAAGTACAGACCAAGATGTTCTAGCCTCAGTATATATATATATATACACACAAATAGTTCTTTAAGACTCTGCCTTCAATTTTTGTATACATAAAGTAAAATTGCCAGATCTTATGGTAATTCTACTTTGATTTCCTATTTTCCCAGCAATGGCATCATTTTTACATTTCTACTAACAATGCCCAAGGGTTTCAATTTTACCACATCTTCATCAACATTTATTTTCTGGTTTTTTGTTTCTTCCTTTTGAATTAGCAATCTGCTAGGCATGAGGTAATATTTCCTACCAAGTTGGTTTTAATTTACATTTCCTTAACTAAACATTGTTTCATCTGCTTGACTGGCCCTGTATATAGCTTCTTTGGAAAATGTCTATTCAAGTCCTTTTGCCCATTTTTGAACTGCATTTTTTTGTTTTGCTTACTTTAAGTTTTAGATGTGTTCTAAAACTGTAAATATTAATATAGTAATTCCTGATTACATGATTTGAAAATATTTTTCCCATTCTAGAAGCTGTCATAATTGTGCTGATAGTGCCCTTTGATGTGCAAAAACTTTAATCTGGCTTGATCTCTAGCCCTCACAGCTCTATTTCCAGCTTTTTTTTTTTTTGTAGTTTAGTGGAGGTAAGAGTCTCACAGACTTTCCTGCTTTGGCTACCTTGGAACTGTGATCCTCAAATCTCAGCTTCCTGAGTAGATAGGATTACAGGTGTGAATCATCAGTGCCAGGCTCCATCTTTTTTTTCTTCCTATACTTTTAGTTTCATCTCCAAGTATGCCAAACCCAATGTCATGAAGTTTTGTTCTAGGTTTTAATAGTTTTAGCTCTCATGTTTAGGATGATGACCCACTTTTAAATTTTTAGCTATGGTGCTAGTTAAGAGGGCTCAACTTCACTATTTTTATATTGGGAGGTAGGGAGAAAAAAACAGAAGCAGCCCTACATTGGGCTCTATTTTTAACATAATCTTATCCCAGCTTTAAGACTTTGAGGAAATTAACTATGGTTAGGTATGGTAGAACACATATGTAATGGAAGAGCCTGGCAGGCTGGGGCAGCAGAAATATAAGGTTGAGGCCAGCCTGGGCTACATAGTAAGGGGTGGAGAAGTGGAAGAGTTGAAAAAACCCAGGTGTAATTATTTTGGACATCACAGCAGCTAGAAGGCCCCTTAGGCCTTCCATCTGGCCTCAGACTACATTTGAGAATCCTAGGTTGGAGGAAGTACTGTTTTCATTCCTCATTCCTGGTGGGACTGTTGGTGACCACACAGTAATAGAGACCAAGCAAGAATCTTGATGGGCTGGTGATATGGCTCAAGGGTTAGAGCATTTGCAGAGAAAGTAAGAAGCCCTGAGTTCAAACCTCAGTACCACCAAAATGACCCAAGAATCTTGAGCTCCATGCTCAGGAGGCTTATTAAAGAGAGCTCTCTGTGTGCAACTCAGCTCTGTTGCTGGCAGCACACACTTGCAACTTTATTTTTCTTCCTATCAATTTATAGTCTTCTCAGACCCATTTGTTGAAAATTCTGTTCTCTGACTGAATATTCTTTTTTTTGGGGGGGGGGGTCCAGTCGTGGAGCCTGAATTCAGGGCCTGGGCGCTGTCCCTCAGCTCTTCAGCTCAAGGCTAGCACTCTACCACTTGAGCCACAGCGCTACTTCCGGCTTTTTTTTCCTGCTTATGTGGTGCTGAGGAATCGAACCCAGGGCTCAAGCATGCAAGGCAAGCGCTCTACCACTGGGCCACCTTCCTAGCCCTGATTGAATATTCTTTTAATTTTTATTTTTTACTGTTATTATAAAGGTGATATACAGAGGGGTTACAGTTACATAGGTCAATTAATGAGATCATTTCTTTTTGGACAATGTCACCCGTTCCCTCACTCTCTCCCAGTTCCACTGAATATTCTTAACACCCTTGCAGAAAATCAGCTGACAATAAGACAACGTGGTTTTACTTCTTTGTTTTTTGTTTTTGTTTTGTTGTTGTTGTTTTTTGGTCGGTCATGGGGCTGGAACTCTGGGCCTGAGTGTTGTACCTCAGCTCCCTAGCTCCTCAGCTCAAAGATAGTGCTCTACTGCTTGAGCTACAGCACCATTTTTGGTTTTCTGGTGGTTTACTGGAGATAAGAGTTTCACGGCTTTTCCTGCCCGGGCTGGCTCTGAACCGTGATCCTCAGATCTCAGCCTCCAGCATAGCTAGGATTCCAGGTGTGAGCCACCAGCGCCCCATTTTACTTCTTGGTTTTACTTCTTGACTCTCAATTCTTTTCCATTTGTCTACTGATGTATCTTTACACTCAGTATCGTGTTTTTTTTTTATCTCTGCAGTTTTGTAATTAAATTTAAAAATCAAGAAGCGTCTTCTAACTTTATTTTTCCTTTTGAAAGTTTGGAGTTTTGTTTGATCTTAAGATTCCAGATAAAAAGATGTAACTAGCAAACATGAGGTTAAATGTAACCTCAGTATTGCCAAAAAAATATCTGGATTCCAGATGAACTGTAGGAAGTCTACCTCTACAGCATGGACATTTGAGCCATACCTCCATTTGCTAGTCAAATGGAGATAAAAATCTCAAAGATTTGTCTGCCCAGGCTGGCTCTTCAAATCTCAGATTCTTGACTAGCTAGAATTACAGGCATGAGCTAAGAATTTATTCTTATGCATTTTAAAAACTGCATTTTCAGAATATATAAGGAAAATAATTTCCTTTCCTTTCTTCCCTCCCTCCCCCCTTTTCTTCCTTCTTCCTCTCTCTCTCTCTCTCTGGTTGTTCAACTTGAACTCTGGGCCTGAGCACTGTCCCTCAGCTCAAGGCTCAAGGCTAGCACTCAACCAGTAAGCCACAGTGCCACTTCTGGTTTTCTGGTGGCTTGAGATAAGAGTCTCAAGGACTTTCCTGCCCCAGCTGGCTTTGATCCATGATCTTCAGATCTAAGCCTCCAGAGTAGTTAGGATTATGGCAGTGAGCCATCAGCACCCAGCAGACAAATGATTTTCTTATACTGAGGTATCTCTTAAGCATCTTTTAAGAAATCACACCATGTGTGTGATCATTAGCATTGAAAAATAAATGACAAAAAATGATGACCTAACATAA